ATGAATAATGATATGTATTTTGATATTAACGATTATTATACCTTAAACACACAAACACTAGTGACCGATAAAAATCAAAAGTTGAATGAATTATTAGAAAAATTAAAATTAATTGTTGCTGATCAGTATCAAGATTTACAGTCCAATATAATGAAACTGACTGATGAATTAACAAAAATAGTTTCACCAGATTCTGGACAAAAACCAACAACACAACAATTGGAAAATCTCTTTGAAAATCTTCCATCAGTAATTAAAGATAAATTACCAAGAGAAAAATTAGATAGTGTGAAAAATCTAGTAAATCAATTGAAAAGCGTAAACGATGAACAAGTAGAAAAGCATGAACAAATAGAGAGTGAAAAAACAGAATTATAAAATTAACATTGCAAAATGTAAATATAAGAAGGCGGTGCATATGTATGTTTTAAATTTGTAAAGTTTTAATTGACAACTGGTAGTAATTTCGTACTATAAAATGTCTCCATACACATAATATTCATGCTATTTTTTCTCAATAAAGTATCTTTTATTATAAGTCTCTCAAGCGTACAGAAATATTTTTGATTTCGATTTGATTTTGAAAAAACAAGTTACCGATCCCACTCTTTGTTAGATGTTAAGTTGTATAACAATCCAGAAAAAACAAATTCAGTTATATTTAAATTTCACATTTGACAATAGATTATAACTAACAATATCTTCGAGAGACAAGTATTTCTACTAATGTTATCACCATTCAGATACATTTTCCAAATAATACTCTTGTATTCATTTTTGTTTTCTTTTTATTCGCAAAAAAAAAGTCACGGAGTACAAAAGAACTCTAAAGAAAAGAAAAGAAAAAAAGAAAAGGTTGTTTACAAAGAAGAGAAACACGAGAATGTTTGTGGATAAAGGAAAAAAAATGTTTTATATTTAACCTTTGAATAATTTATAGAAGAATAGCTATTGTTTGTTGTTAATATATCGTGGTAGAAAATATAACAGAAAACGTGTTGGGAAAAAATTGTTTTTTGTTGATGAATTTTATTGAAATATTTTTTACTAGAATAAAAAAAATAGAGTCAAACACAGTTTCATTTGTCGAAGGACTAAATACATATTTGGATAAACTTACATATTTGGTTTTAGCTTTCGATGCAGCATTATCAGTTCCACTTTTTACACTATCCGCTCCTCTTTTCACAGAATCAGCAGCTGATTTGACACCCTAAAAGATAAACGGTCAGTATGAACTATTAATTATTGCAAGTGAGAACCAAGACTAAATGAAAAATTGACATGTCAGTGATCATAATCAATGGATAACTTACAGACGCAGCACGATCGACTGTTTGATTGACTTTATGTTTTGTTGAATCTGATGTATTTGATTTTACTTCATTTGACTAGAAAAACAATAACAGGAAGTTCGTTGAAAAAATTCACGACTAAGATATATGAAAACGAACTAGGTATTTCAATTAAGAATTTACGAAAGCTTCTGGTTTCTTTCTTCAGGAAACAACTATTTTATAGAAGATTTTGGTTTACAATACTGCAATATCAAAAAGCTTACTTTATCTTTGGCCCATGATGATGCGTCATCTACTTTATCTTTTGTCCAACTGGCTGCATTACTTGCGGCTAAAACATGAAGTAAGTGTTAAATTTTGGTCAGAACAAATAATCTTTAATACAATTACTACAAATGAAGCTGCTTTTTTTTGTTTTATTCAGTTAGGAAAAATTACCTTTTTTCACATCACCACTTTTATCTTTAGCCCAATCTTTCACATCTTCTGCCTAAAGCAATTAGAAAAATATGTACTACTAATAACTTCATTCTATAGGGAAAGAAATTACACAAACATACCTTATCTTTGGCATAGTCAGCAGCCTCCTTTCCCATTTGTTTTGCTTTATCTGTCACTGTTTGGTCCTAGAAAATCGAAAAAAGAATTTGATGAGTATTAAAAAAAAAACGTCTTGATTTGCACTTGAAAATACATTTAGTTACTTTTTCTGAATTATTTCATTTTTTTAATGATAGTATAGCTCTATATTTGAAATTTAACTTATTTTAAGAATGAGTTTTCTATACTTCATGAGAAAGTCAAAGCAAAAATAAAGAGAAACACTGATTCTGTTTCAAAAATGACAGTTGAAATCATCGGTTCGGTTTACGCTCGAATCAAAAACATATCCATACACAATACTTACTGATGTACCATATGAGCCAGTTTTCGATGTTTGACCAGAACTTGAGCCGTAAGAACTGCCGGAACTGGAACCTGATGAGCTATTGTAGCCGGACGATGTGGACCCTGCACGATATTGCTCACTTTTATCACCAGTTGAAGCAGCATAAGGACT